GGCTGGGAGCTGGTCTTGACCTGCTCCAGGTGGGCTTGGAATGTGCCCAGCTCAGGATAGGGATTAAGGCTTGAAAGACAAGAGGAAATGAGATGTTAACCCTTTAGGCCAAGGCTCTCTGAGTCCCAGCAGGAAAATGGCAAAGGGGAGTTATCTACAGGCATCTGATGAAAGCTGGGCATGCATCGCTTTTGATTTATCGCAGGGACACAGCCACGTGTCTGACTACTGCGGGGATGGTTGTGGGCCTGGACTTCGAGATCATTTTCTTTGAGGTGAAATCATGAGAGAGATGATTAATTTCTGCTGCCCGGGGCTGCAGGGGTTGCTGGGAAGCTACCTGCTAGCCTCCTCAGAAGGCTGCTGATGGTATCAGCAAGTGGCAAATTTACAGTTATTGAACATGCTTTTACTCCTGAAACAGTTCCGCCAACAGCCTGTCCTTTCCAGGAAGATAAACAAAGAAGGCATTTGCCCCTGGGCTACAGACCAGCTCTCCACCAGGGAGTCCTGTCCACTCCTACATCAGTAGCCTGTATATGGAAAACAGAAGAGGCCAGCTCTCCAGAGGCAGCTGCCTGAGTCCCAGCCTAGGTCCTAGCACACCACAGGCTTCAAACAAGGTCCTTAACCACTGTGCTATAATTTCCCCACCTGTAAAACAATGCTATAATAGCACAGCATCCCCCATAGTGGAGATCCGTGACTTTGTAAACTACTTCACGCAGCCCGGAGCACACACCGGGGCTGCTTCAATCTTAGCTGTCTTTTTCTCCTTTCCTACCCCTGTGAATCTCAACAGAAGCCTTCCCCTCCTCCGGGGTGCCAAGGCTCACTTCTGTGAAGTGACTTAGCTCTTTGATTGATATGGCTTGTTTGACCCCTGACCCTGCATGCTTTAAATTCTGGTTCCACCCTCTGCTACTGGCCCCGAGGCCCCTTGCTGCCCTTTTACTTAGCCGTCCAGCCCCTTGCCCCCTGACTCTGTGCTAGCTGGACAGAATGCTGGTGGGCTGGGCAGTGATGTCAACCGGAAGCTCTGGTGGCATAGGTCGGTTCTGTTCCTCTCTGTTCACTGCTAGGTTTGCTGTGACACAGCACCCCAGGTCCAAGTGGCTGAGGGTAGGAAGGACTGCAGGATCAGGAGATGTGGAAACCATCTGGTCAGGATACAAACCCGAGCACCGTCCCCTATCCTGGCTTCCCTGAACTCCTGTTACGTCATCCTGGATGTGGGCTGATAAGTTGCAGTCACCCAATGTTTGGTACGAGGGCCAGTCCCCCCCAGTGGATATGAGGACTCCTGGGAGCTATGATGAACGGTATGCTCGTTATCGGGTGAGCGCTAGGCAGAACCATGATGCACATAGCTTCTTCTTACTCCTTTGTTTCCTTCTCTTTTGGTAGTTCTGGGGATTGAACCTAGGGCCTGACCAGGCATGCCAGGCAAGTGCTCTCTATTACTGAGCTACATCCCCAGCCCTGCAGGGCAAGGTCTGAAGTCTCATTTCTGGTGCGTACTGACAATGCAGCCTTCACCTCCATGGAAAGTCTGGAATAGACACCTCTATCTATTTACCTCTGCTTTCCTTATGATGCTTTAGGCAAATGCAGGCCTTTACCCTGCTTCAAGTGCAGAGGCCTTTGACTACCTGAGAGAGAGGATGCTACTATGGATGGAACCTCACATTAGGTGCTGGCCTTACCTTCAGGTCCTCTAAGGTCAGCCAGACATTATCCTGTTCCGTAGCTTAGACAGTAGAGGCTCGCGTAGCAAGTGTACAGCATGACGATGTTTGAGTTCTACCTGGTTCTAAAACAGATACTCTCGGAGCAGACAGACTAGCTAGTGAATGGTAAACAACCAAAAAAGCAAAACTCCATCCCTCATCTGCACATAGTATGCCAGCTACCTCTAATTATCCGTTTGTTCCTTTCTACATACTTATATATGTTTTTTCTATGTATGTATCTTATGTGTGTGTGTGTTCATGTATGTGTGTGTCTGTGTAAATGTGTGTAGGCCAGAGTATGGTGGTAGATGCCTTCCCCAAGTAGCCTTCTACCTTATTTTTTGACAAAAAATGCTCTTATTTGTTTTCTGTTGCTTTGTTAAGCACCATGACCCAGAGCAACTTGAGGGGAAAGAGTTTGGTTCCTACACCCTGCTGGATCATGATCTATCATTGAAGGAAGTTCGGGTAAGAACTGAGGGCAGGAACCTAAAGGCAGGAACCAAAGCAGAAGCCATGGAGGAATGCTGCTTACTGGATTGTTCGACTTGCTTTCTTATACTTCTTGGGACTACCTGCTAAGGGTTGGCACTGCTTACGGTGGGCTGAGGCCCCTCACATATCAAACATTGACCCATAAAATACCCCACAGACTTGTCTACAGGCTGATGTGATGGAGGCAATGTCTCAGTTGAAATTCACTCTTCCCAGGTGACCCTTAGGTCAAGTTGATGAAAAGCAAACAGAAACCATGAAACAAAACAAAAACACAAAAAAAGAAACTAACTGAAACATAGTGTCTCTCACTCAGTCTGGGAGTTCACTGACTGAAACATAGTGTCTCTCACTCAGTCTGGGAGTTCACTGACTGAAACATAGTGTCTCTCACTCAGTCTGAGAGTTCACTGACTGAAACATAGTGTTTCTCACTCAGTCTGGGAGTTCACTGATTCAGTGATGCTGGCCAGCACTTCCCGGGCATCCTCAGCATCAGTATTCAGTGATGCTGTCTAGCGATTCCTGGGCATCCTCAGCGTCAGTCAGTATCTCCAGCACTGACAGTACTGAGGTGGGCCATCACGCCAGGCTTTTTAGGCCGGTGCTGGGGATATGAGCTCAGCTCTTCTTGCTTGTTCAGCAAGTACTTTATTGACGGAGACTTCTCACAGCCCTAGAACAAGCTCATGTGATAACTGAGCTGATACACACTTGTCTATTTATTTATTTATTTATTTATTTATTTATTTATTTATTTATGTATTTTTGACTAACATGGGTCCGAGCAAATATTTCACATTTTAAAACAATTATAAGGAGGAGTTATTTCATTTTTATTTGTGTGTGCTTATGTGTGAGTGTGTGCATGTGTATGTGGGTACCAGTAGAGGCCAGAGACAGTGTCAGATCCTCTGGAGCTGGAGTTACAGACAGTTGTGAGTTGCCTGATGTATGTGTACATTGGGAACTGGACTCAGATCCTCTGAAAGAGCAGCAAGTGCTTTTTAACGCTGAGCTACCTCTCCAGGTTTGTTTTTAAACGTTTTTCTTCCCATTTCTTAAGGATAGTGATGATCTCCATAGCCCTTCCGTACTCTGGGTTAGAATGGTTTTCGTTCTTCCCCAGTCTCAAAAATCAGTGCAATAGTAAAGGCATCCAGTTTGCTGCTGGTCTTTATCTTTTTCTGATCTCAGGTTCTGCCTTGGAGTCAGATCCAGGCCACATGGTCACCTGGTCATACTGACCCAAGGTATTCAATAACCCATAGAGAGCAAGCTACCACGTGAGTACCAGGAGTAGAGGAGGACTCAGCAGTGACCTACTCCTTTCTTATTTATTCTGTTCCTTCCTCAGGCCCAGATCAGAGGAACTCAACACCCTTTGCTTAGCAGGCCAGGAAGACCCATGATAGGGTGGGGGACTTTCTGAATTCCACAGAAGGAAATTATGTCAGTGTTCACAGAGGTTCCTTGAAGGAAGGTGTTGGCAACTTCTTAGATTATGCTCACACATGTTATTGATTCTGTATGGGTCATGCTGTGTATCCATCCATTCATGCTTCTTCTAACCCTCCCCAAGTCCCTACTGTGCACCAGGGACCAACACCATGCACCGTAAAAACTAGTGGATTCCAGATCCAGCTGCTGCTTGTGTGGCTTTGGACACAACCCGTTGAGCATCCATTTCCTCTCTTGTAAAGCGGGCCAGTCATCACTGAACATAAGAAAACCTAGTAGAGTTAGCCTAGGGTTTGCTCAGACACTGTATTTGTTAGCTTCCTGTTACTGTAACAAAACACCGGAGGCAATCAACATGAGGAATAAGGACTTGTTTGGGTGTGTGGCTTCAGAGGTCCCATGGTTGCTTGGTTACAGACATCATGGCAGGAACATACAGTAGAGGAAGATGTCTGTCTGGTAGTATCCCAAAACCAAAGAGAGAGGTGAGGGGAGCCAGATTCCAATATGCTTTGAAGGTTAAGTCCCATGTGACCTTTCTTCTTTCACTAGGCCCAACCTCCTAAATGTGCTACCACCTCTTAATAGTGTTACCAAATAGGGACTAAGACTTTTAACACGTGGGCTGGAGAAATGCCTCAGTGTTTAAGAACATGTGCTATTTCTTTAGTGGATCCAAGTTTGTTCTCAGCACCCACGTGGTGACTCCCAACTGCCTGTAACTCCAGTTCTTCTTGGGAATCCTACAATGTTGGCTTCCTTAGGCACCTGTGTTCATGTACATATTTCTGCACATACATAAAAATAATAAAAACAAATCTTTTAAAAGAAAAAAATATACATGTGTCTTTGAGGGCCACATTCAGATTAAAGTAGACTTGAAGGGGCTACTGTGTTCCTTAATAAGCATGAAATTCTGGTCTGTCTTATAGGTATATAGGTCATATATATATATATATATATATGGATATATATATGTGTGTGTATGTGCATGTGTGTGTATATATATATACACACGTGTATATATATGTGTGTGTATATATATACACACGTGTATATATATGTGTGTGTGTGTGTGTATGTATGTGCATTTATGTGTGTCTTATAATCTTATAGGAAGATGCTATTTCTGCCTAAGAGCATGGTGGTTCTTGCAGCCATAAGGAGAGGCAGATGCTAGGAAAATCATTATAATAACCATAGAACAGCCCTGCAGACCCAGGTAAAAGGCACTGGACTCAGGGGTGGGACTTTAGAAAGACGTGGGGTGGGAGGCATGACTCGGGAGGAAACCTAGGGGAAGAGAGAGAGTTAAAGGAAGCAGAAGCTGTTTGTACTTTATTAGAAAGCAATATTCTTGATTAGCTTTCAGGATTCAGCTTCTCATAAGTGAGACTTCCCATGCCCCCAGAATGAACGCAATGGATGCCTGTGCACGACACAGCTTCCACACACCGTGCGGCTGCTTCTAATCCACTGCGTCTCTTAACATTGCCTCCTCTCTGCGTGCCATGATGGTTCCTTTGCTCTGTCAGAAGCTGCGAGGCTCTGTTGTCCTTATCTTGCCGTGCTCTCAGCCTGGCTCGTACGTATGACAGTCTGACAGATGGTGTCAGGCGGCGTTCAACAGTGTGTTTCTTACAAGGGGTCAGAGGGTTGATATCCGAGCTTTGCGGGACATGGATCTCTGTTGCACCTAATTAGTGCTGCCTTCTGAGCGTGAGTGCAGCCACAGGCAGTCCATAAAGGAAAGGTCATAGGTGCAATCCAATAAAACTTTATTTAGGGGCTGGAGAGGTGGCTCGGCGCTGTGAGCCCTTGCTGCTCATGGGAGGATTGGTGTTTGGTTCCCAGCATCCACATTGGGTAGTTCACAACTGCTGTTGCAGGGGATCTGGTGTCTTCTTCTGATCTCTTTGGGGACCTGTGTACATAAACATGCACATATCCTTAAATAAAAATAAAATCTCACTAAAACCCTTTATGGATTTTCTGATGATCCCAGCATTCATATCACATCATAGCACATTCTCTGTCTGTCTGTCTGACTGACTCTGTCTGTCTTTCTCTCATTCTGTCTCTGTCTCTCTGTTGTTGTTCAACCATTTGAAAATGTGACCCTCTCTCTCCCCCCCCAAATGGCAGTCAGTCAGGCTTGACACATGACTTCCTAGTCTAGTTTACCACACTATCGAAAACCTTTTCAATGCCAGGAAGAATGGCTGTGAGTAATCTGTATTGTTGCTGGGACAAATTACTTGACAAGCAGTTTCAGAGAGGAATGGTTTACCCAGCTTAGAGTTCAAGAAGATGATTCCAGAGCGGCCAGGAAGACGTGGCAGAAAGTAAGGAAGGAGTGACAGCAGGGGCAGGAAGCGGCATGGTCTCCTGCACCCACAGTCAGGAAGCAGAAAGAGAACAGGAAGTGGAGCCAGCCTATAAGAGCCCAGGGCCCGCCCACAGTAGCCTACTTCTTCTAGAAAGGTTCTGCCTCTTAAAGGTTCCACAATGTTGCTAAACAGCACTGCCAACTGGGAACCGAGTTTAGATACACAGATGTGTAGACGGCTTACAGTTAAACCACAGCAGTGCCCCAGAGAATCCATAAAAATCATAGGTGTTCCAGCGTCCCTAAGAGTCTAGTTCAAGTCATAAGTTTTAGCCAAAAAAAAAAAAAAATTATTTGTGAGCTTGGGTTGTATCAACTTAACGCAATGCCATAATACAACTTGCTATACTTTGAGTAGTTATTGTAGTCAGTAAAAAATTATAGACTTTCAAAATTCTTAGCATCAATGACTTTAGTAATATATTATACCCTTTCAAGATTCAGCCAATAGTAGATCGAATACACACACACACACACACACACACACACATGCACACACACACAAACATTTGTTTGCTTGTTTTTCAAAGCAGGGTTTCTCTGTGTAGCCTTGGCTGTCCTGGAACTCACTCTGTAGACCAGGTTGCCTTCAAACTCAGACATCAGCCTGCTTCTGCCTCCCAAGTGCTGGAATTAAAGGCGTGCGCCACCACTGTCTGGCTCAGATTGAAAATAGTTTTAAAATTTTGTATCAGTATTGAATATGGTCAGATCTTCATTCTTGTCTTTATCTACTAGAAATGTATGGTACAGGATCCATTAACCTGACATGGACAGTACACAAGGCAGTATAAATAATCTAGGGACGGTTTAAGAAGTCCAGGCAAGAGGATGAGCATAGCTCATGCAGTACCATTTATACAAGGTAGCTTCTTGCATAGCATTTGCAGTGAGTGAGATAGTATCAGTACTCCCAGGAGTAATTTAAGGTCAATGGAAGGATATACATGGGTTATATACAAATACCATGACATTTTATGTGAGGGACTTGAGCTTTCATGGCTACTGTGGTTGGTGGGATGCTGATGAGGCTAAGAATATTGATGGATGACTACATTGTATCTTGTTTTAGTTTCCGATTGAAAGGGTGCTTTCCACATTGCTCTCTTGTTGTATTTGATCCTGGAGTCCAGTTGTTCTGACTCCTCACATCCTGATGGCCTGTGGTATGGAACTGGACTTGATTCTGGCTGAATCCACCAAGGAAAGGCATGGAAGGCACTCCCAGGCTTGTATTTGGCACATGATGAATGCAGGATAAACTTGTTCCCTCTTCTCCCAACTCAAAAGTCCTTGTGTTTTTGGTCAGCTCTAAAAACATGCTGAGCCTCTTTGAGCTTGTTTCCCTAGTTCTTTCCACATGCAATAAAGTCACTAACCTTTTTAAATGGAAACAAAAACAGAGAATGTTGGAAAGCCGAGTTCCCCACCCGGGTCACCAGCTCTCCCTTATTGGACACAACACAGCTCTGTGCAGACTGCTGATTGGGGCCAGAGGAGAGGCCCCAGTTCCAGGGACCAAGGCTCCAGCTGGTGCAGACCTGGCCTTCCAGCCAGAAAGGGCTGCCTGGCCTGCTGGCTTCTCCCATCTCCACAGCTCCTGGGTGTATCTTGGTTTCTGGGATTCCTATGGGCATAAAAGTGGGATTCTCTCCAGATGGGAGACCACCAGCCCTGAAGGTGACTGTGAGGCTGTAGTTCTTGGCTCCCAAACTGGCTTTCACTGTATGTGTTGGATGGAAATCCAACTTGAGCAAGCGTGTGTTTGTGTTGTTTAGGGGGCGATGGCACATAGCCACGTGTGCTTTCTGGCCTGGGGGCTGCTAGCTCCCTGTGAAAGGAGGCAGCTGTTGTCCTTTGGCCAGCGAAGGTTTTTCCCATTGTTTTGTTGGGCAGGGGGCTAGTGTTCTTGGGTGGAGAGCTCTTAGGTGTATAGACAAGTGGTCTTGGAGTTGTGGGCCTGAATGTTGAGTTCTCTTTTGGCATTGGCTTGCCTTTTGACTGCCCATTGTTGTATCACTAGTTCTTCACTCCTGAATGAACAGTGATTGACTAGATCATTTCTAAGGGACGTTTCTCAACTGAGACAGATGTGGATATTTGGCCTTTACCCTTACCTAGCAGCGATAAGATGTTTCTTCTCTTCCTACAGAGTGGTCAGTCATAAGGACTCTTACCACCACCCACAGAAGCAAAGACACACATCCCCTCTTTTCTGCTCCTGCTTGTGGCCTCGGTGGGGGCCACATGAGGAACTGTGCACCTGCTTTATTTCATCCTTCCCTTCCCAGCAGAGGAATGCTCGTGGGGATCTGATGGAGATGGGGAACCATCACCATCCTGACCAGAAGTACTGGTGACTCCCCCTTCCTCAGCAGAGACCAAATGGGGACTTAGGATTTTGTCTCTGGCTGAGCATGATGAGGGAAAAAGCCCCTCCCAGACTTTAGCACTGTCAAAAGAAGACAGTTAAATGGAGGCTTTAAATAAGATCTTTGTTCTTGGCACAATGCATGTGCAGGGTTAGCACAGAATCAGTCACGAGAACCAGGAAGGTCTTCTGCTGAATGACAAAGGACAATAGATGGAGTCCAACACTAAGCTGACAAAGATGTTAGAGATACCCGGTGAAGGCTCAGAAGCCGCCATCATGAAAGTGCCTCAATAAATAATTATCTGTATGCTTGAAATAAATAAAAAAATGTTTTTAGTAAAGAAAAAGGAGAAAAAGACTATTATCCATCAATTGTCAGTCTATCTGTCTATCAAACATCTATTTACCATCTATTATCTATCATCTATTTTATTCATTCACACATAAATCAATCTATCATCATCTGTCCAATAATCTACCATCTATCTATCTATCTATCTATCTATCTATCTATCATCTGCCTTTCTATTTATTTATATTTTCTACCTTTCTAGCTGTCAATTATGTATATATTTGTCTTCTCTCTGTCTGTGTAATGCTGGGATTGAATCTAGGGTCTTACACATAATAAGTAATGTTATACCCTGGAAATACCTAAGCCCTGGAAATGATATTTCTAAGTATTAAAATTATTATAAGTCAACAGGTTGTAATAACGTCTAATTCTTGGGTGCAAAGTGGAGTGTTTAAATTGAGCTAATTCTCCGTCATCTCTGATGCTTGTCACTGTGTAGAGAGGACATCTGAAATGTACTCAGCGAGTATGAACTGCTCACTAAACTATGCAACAGATTAAACAGGGACACTCTGTACCCTTCCACCGGCCCTTCCTTTTGCTTCCACTCTGCTACCTTTAACTACCCTCTGCATTCTGTTTCCATGGGTTGAATGGTTTTAGAATCCACATGTAGGTGAGAACATGGGTGTACCTTCTTGTGTCTGGCTTATTTCACTCAGCATAGCATTCTCAAGTTCTATCCATGTTGTCCAAATGACAGGGTTCCCTTTTGAAGACTGAGTAGTATTCCACTTAGCATTTCTTTATTCATGCATTGGCTGAGGACGTTTGCATTCATTTCTACATCATGGTTATTGGCAAGAAGGCCACAAGGAACCTGAGAGTTCATGCATCTCTTCACTAAACAGATTAAGTACTTAAGAATGAATAAAAAAAAGAGGAATTGCTACACCAAATTTTCTTTGCAGTTCTTTTTTTTTTTGAAACTGCCATACGGTATTTCATGATTGTTGCTCTAACTCCAGCTCTGACTGGTGTCATTTGAAAGTTCCACCCCTGTGACTCTCAGCAAAAACCGCCATCTTGAGTGTGCTTGATAATAGCTGTCCTGACGGAAACGCATCCCTGCTTTAAAGTTCCGTTTTGCAGTGATCGTGGATGTTTAGTATCTCTACATGTTCTCTTGAGCACTACCTATCAAGGTCCCTCCTCTACTTTTTTACTGTTTGTTGTTGCTATCGAGTTGAATCCTTTTCGTATTTCGGGTATTAATCCCTCCCAAGATTCACTGTTTGTCAACATCCTCTCCTAGTTTATAGGCTATCTTTTCACACCGCTCCTTTTCCCTTTGCTTGAAAATGCTTTTGTGTTTGCTGTCGTCTTATTCGTGGTTTTGTTTTGTTGCCTGTGCTTTGGGGATCGGATTTTAAAAAGTCATTACTCATACTCAGTGCTATGCAGAATCTCGCCGATTTTTAAAAATAGTTTCTAGTCTCATGTTTAAGTTTTTAGTCCTGCGTGGAATTTTTAAGAAGGGAAACACATAATAACTGAAATCAGGTCTCACTGGATGGACTGCTTAGGAGAGTAGAGGCAGGAGGATTGAAACAAATTGGAGATGTAATGAGTTACCCAACCTGGGCCCCAGAGAGCAGCAGGCCTGAGCTAAAAGCCAGGTGTTGGTAGGACTATGACAAAAGATCCGATATCTGTGTTTGTGCAGCCCCAGGAGAGAAGAGAGTAGACAGGGCCGGAAGCTTCCGGATGGAATCCTTTCCAAAAAATGTTTTCAGATGTAGCGTAAGACACAACCTCAACTCAAAGAAGTCTAGTGCTAAGACCCATAACAGTCAGTTGTTAATTTTGGGGACAATCTCAGGCTAGCTCTGGCTTGCTGTCATCTTGCTGCATCTTTCTAAGTAAGTGCTAAGATGATAAGCTCATGGTCAAACTTCTGAAAACGATTTTGAAGAGGAGTAAAGAGGAAGACCTGGAGGGGTGGGGACGAAGTGACGTGGTTGGAGAGAGAGACGCATAGCATAGGTCACAGTGATAGATGTGCCTGTTCATCTGGGATTGGGTGTGTGCGTGTGCGTGTGCGTGTGTGTGTGTGTGTGTTCACATGTGCCTGGTTTCAAATGTGTGTGTGTTCACATGTGCCTGGTTTCAAATGTGTGCATGTGTG